AAATCTTAAATTACAATTTATAGTAATCATTATTACTATCAAATATATTTGAATCTTTTTAATGATCATCATACATATAAATAATTAAATTATATAATTAAAATTTATGCACAATACTTGCAGTACCTTAATAAATAATATATAAAGAAATTTATTTGTTGCATTCTGTTATATAATATTTTGTTACAAGTCATATAATACTAATTATAATTCATATGACTTTATATTAAACACTCTGAATAAATATATATAAACACAATTTTCAATAAGACAAAGCAGATTATATTAAACAATAAATGTTTAACATAAAATTAAAAAAAGGTTTTTCAAAAATCAAACATAACTTAAATTTTACTTATTTCATGTCTTAACCAAAAAACAACTTCTGTCAAATTATGCTTTATCTAATCTTAATATTAAATATACTAATAGTAAATAACAATTAGATTATTACATAACACAATAAGAAATTATTGAAAAACTTTTTCTTAAAAAATTATTTACTATATAATTTGTCAAATTTTTAATGCTATATACTTCTAAATAAGATTATAGCAGATCAATATAGTATAGGTAAGCAAATTCATATAGTACAAGCTAATTTTATAAACTATACCTTACTAATCAGCTATAATAATAAATTCTAACCCTAACACTAATATATATAATGCCAGATCAGTATGGTATAGATTTTAAAAATCAGCCTGTACTATACAGATTTGCTTACCTAAACTATATTAATTTGTGCAATTTAGCTTCTAAATAGATAGAAAATTTTTTTGATAAAACTTTGATGATGATACTTAGATAATACCTGCATTATAATTCAATATCCAAAAGCTAATATAAACAATAAAAATTAATCTACTGTAATGTTACTTAATCTTATGTAACAAAAAACAATAGATAAATATGCTTAGTTAAAATAATTAGTATATAACAAAATACATATTTACATAGTCTTACTATAAATCATACTTGCTTAATACAGATTGATAAATGCAGTTAACTCTGGATATACTGAACTGCATGTTCTGAGAAGTTTTGTTTAGTATAGTATACACTATACTAAACAGTTCAGTATACAAAGCTAATCAATAGAATCATATGTAGAGACTAAATGGGTCTGGAAATTTATAGAAATTCTTGGAATTTCACTTGAAATATTATTTCAAACTTGCTTTAGGTTGGAGTATTTTGACTTTGAAACCAGTATCATATACAAAGTTTAAATGCAGTATATAAAAATTTACTATATACTATAAGTTCAGCATAGCCTAAATTATTATACAAATCAGTTTTGCCAAATCAAGTTTGGTATAATCTGAGCTCATTCAGTATATCCAGAGTTGACTGTAATAAGCAATCAATTGATTAATTCAGAGATTAAATTAAATAGCTAAACAATAACCAAAGTCAAAATTACTAATTAAATGCAAATATTCTTCAAAAAAAGGTTTGTTTTTTATTTAAACAATTTGAGAATGCAATTAAACATTCTATGTTCTAAATACAATAGATAATTATTAAGTACATCATCTTTTGTACACATTATTACTGCTCTAATTTTGTTCTTTTACAGCAGCTTACACATGTACATTATCAAGAACTGAGTTTGATAAGTAAAGAATACTAAAAGAATATATTAAATTTAAACTTAATATATCTAATTAAACCAGTACCTCAGTATGGCATAAGCCAAAGAATTTTATTAATTATAATCTAGCAAGAGGCTCCAAGGCTAAAGTGTATATTACTGGCAAATTTTTTTTTAAAATTATAAAACTTCTAAATAGGTAGTATTTTAATTAAAGTATAAATTGCACTATATAAATAATAAATTATAAAGTTAGTCAAATAACAAAAAAAATAAAAAAAATGCTTGTTTTGATTTTATCTTGGCTAAAAGAATAATTATATTCATACAAATACATTTTACTATTTGAACTAACAATTAATAGACTTTATATATATCAATATTGCATTGAATTTTAAATTTTAGAAAATATAAATGAAAGGTATCTTTGATTTGATAATGCTTTTATTATAGAAAAGTAAAGCTAACATATTTAATATAATTAAAAATATAAAAATAGTTTAAATGATAAACTATAAAAAAAGCCAGTTAGCAAATTAATAATAATAGTAGTTATTAAAGAATAAGACTGTATGTCATTACCAATTCCTTATAGATTCTTTGTAAATAAAATTAAAAATCTAGTGCACTAAGTTAATTATTTTTTTTCTTGCATCTCACACTATTGTGGCCAGTAAGGCCACAAGTGTGACAAGCATATGGCTGGTAATGTACCTTCTCTATTGCAGACTTGTATTATTTAGTTTCTGGTCTGCCTTTATGTTTAGTAACTAGAGGATTGGCAATTTCTGAATTTTTATTAACATTACTATCAAACTTATTAATCACTCTGTTGTTGTTGTTTGCAATTAAAGATTTTTCTGATTAATAAATATTTGTAACCATTAAGTCATTTTATTATTATCATATTCAACTGCAAGCTGTGCAGCCTGTCATGCAAAACCCTATAATTCACTGTTTTAGAACACCTAACTGCTGCACATCAATTTTTAATTGACACTGAGCATAGTACTGTGAATAATTGAGAATTAATTCTTATAGTTTGGCTTGGCAAAGCTTAAGCAACATTTACATTTATGAATATTACATTAAAATTGTCAGTTGCTCCTTTCTTGCTATCACAATACCAATGTGATGTTATCATTTTAATGTAAAATCCAGCTATATGTAATACTAGCATCATTTGAAAGTAATGTCAATATAAGATACCTTGAGAAATATTGAACATGTAAGTGCATATATAAGACACAGAATCTATAACAATGATAAAATATTTTTGCCAATTGTTTTCTGAATGTTTGTCTGTAAGCAGCCAAATTTCTTGAACATTATTTTGACTGACTTCCATTATTGTCGATTTAAGTAAAACATGTTTTGCATTATAAACATCTTCAATAAATTTATTTATATTTTCATCCTAAACAGTAAATATACATTCTGGTAGTTAGTATAAAAAATAATCTTGAATATTAATTAAATACACTTATATATATAATAATTTTATTATAACTATAATGATATTGCTTAATACATGCAATTAATTAGAAAATGTTTTATAAAAATAAATAAATAAAAAATAAAAAATAAAAAAAAAGAACTACCCAAAGAGCTATTATATGAGTATTACTATGAGAAAACCTGCAAATCTTATCCAATAAGATTTACAGATATTCTCTTGACAGCACTCATATGAACATATATTAGCATTTATATAATTACTGACCTCATTATCATTATAACTAATGATGCTTTATAGTATAAACATTGAGCTATTTTAGTACATTCTACAGAAAGAATATGCAGTATCAAAAATTCTAAAATTTTCTGATCAATGAAAGAAAATATCTTACTTTTGATAAAAGAAATTCTAATACATGAAGACAAAGTTTGATACTCGAAGAAACAGTTTTATTCAGCCTCCTTTTCAAGTCTAGAATCTACTATCTTAACCAAGTTATATAAACTACTTTTACTATATAAAACTTGTTTAATAATATTATTGTATTCTTTTACACATGATGTTATTTGAATTCCTGCTATAAAAATTCTTAATATAAAAGTACAAACTCAGAAAAAGTAACTAGGATAGAAAATTCAACTTAGATAATCTATAGCAAGTGGATATTTTTGTAAAATAGTTTGGCACTTTGTTTTAAATAATTCTTTATCTAAGGTATTGTAACATTAAAAAAAATTCTTAATAAAGTTACCATATGTACTACCTAATGCTGCTTTAAGGTTTTTTGGTAAATTTTAATTAATATGATAGATACAATATAATAATTTAGCAGTCTTATACACTTGCTGAAATGCACTATTTATTGCTAAGTCTGCATCTGTGATAAACACTAATGGTTCTATACTAGTTGCTTTTTTAGTATATTGAAGAATTTATTTATAAGAATTAACAGTCTTATAAGACACTAATGCCTATGCTACTAAATAGAACTTAGTATTATTATTAATGATAAGAAACAAACTAAAAGGCATATGGTATCAATTTGTTTTAATCATGTTATTGTTAAGTACAACATCATAATACTCAAGCCAAAGAGATACTTAAGTAGGAGTCATTTAGAAAAGTTTAATAAGATGATTGTTAGCATTTAACTCAAATTCAACTATCTAACCCAATTCATCAGATTGTTTGTTATTAAGAAATGAAAAAAGACATGAAACATCTGTAACTTCAAGATCTTAAGATTTAGTTTTAAAATACTAAATAGCATTTGCAAGTTCTTTGTCTAAAAAGGTTATATTCAGAAATTTAGCCCTTAAAAACTGGCACTATATGCTAATTGAAAATTTTCTATTTTTGGTATAAAACTCAATTTCTCTTATAGCATCCTTTCCTATTGACTGGAATCTAGAACTATATTTGTATATTACTAAATAGAGCTCATAATTATAAGTATTGACAAATGTTGTAACTGTAATACAAGTGGCACCTTTCGAAAAACTTAAATTTATATATCATTTATACTCTTGATGCTTAGACCATCATTCATAATGAGCATTAATATTAAAACTTTTTTTTGGATTGTATGTCTCTCTAAATTTGCATTCAAATGCCCTATATTTTATTATACGATCACTATTATGCTTAACTCTAATTTTAATAACTGCAAACCCAAATTCTTGGCTATATGCTTCAAAAAAGGAACTCACCTTATTTTAATTTGAGAATATATAACCAATGCCTAATAATAAAAAATTGTATGATATTTTGGATTTATTTATAAAAGGATATATAATATAAATACTTGAGTAAACAGGTTCTTTGGTTCAAATTTATAATAAAAAAACTAGTCCAAGCTGATCTTTTACTATGTATTAATTTTACTAATAAACTAAAACCAACTTTATAATAGAATTTATACTTGCTATTATTAGCCTCATTGTCTTAATTATTAAAACCATCTTTAATAACAATATTTTCGACTTCAATATTAGCATCTTTATCTTGAACACCAATATCATTAATGCCAATATTATTGACACTAATATTATCAATATCGATATTATTAACACTAATATTATCATTAGTCATATTACTATACTCCTATCAGCTAGCTTTAAAAAGTATCAAAAATAATTGTATGTTATAATTTATTTTAACTTAAATTCTGTAGTATCTTATTTAATTAATATGGATATAGTAAGCAAAAGAGATTGTAAATGTTTACCTATTTTTTTATATATACTTTAATCATCAGTGGCTTTGCTGTACTTACATTACAATAACATTATAATAATTATATGTACATATATATGTATTTACATATATATATACACATTACTGAGTTTTAATAGTTAATGTCACATGACATGCAAGTATTGAACCTTGGGTTTCAAAAGTATGTAATATACCAGAAACATGAAATTTATGTTATTTATTATGATTTGATGTAACTTAGATTCATTAAGTGCTATCAGTTACTCAAAAATTAATATGTAATAATTAATGATTATATGATTTTACTGTAAGTGTAGTTTGTTAAGAATTATACTAAAACAAATCACAATTTTTGTATCTCTATAATGTACCAGCTATCAGAGTTATAATATCATTATATCATATAATATATTTTTGTTACACAACATATTTTGTTGTATTATATATAACCTATAACAAAAAAATTTATTGTAGGTGTAACAAGAACATTTATTCATAATATATTACTAAGAAATATTGTAATTTTCATGTTAAGTATTTTTTATCAATTTAGTCTTGGTAATTTTAGAATTGAACAGATTAAGTAATATTGTATAAGTAACTGCATATTGATTTCTTGTAGATTGCTGTCTAAACACTTTTTTGGCAATTATTTAAAGATACATTTTGTCTTCTTCTTCATTCATTGTGTTCAGATTTTCAAAACACCACTATACTTTTTTGTTTAATTTCTAGAAAATGATTTCAAATTCAGAACTTTTAGAGTTAACAGTTGAAAAAACCTTTTTTTAAAAATATACTCAGATACATTATGATGAAAAGTTTCAAATAATGTTTCACAATATTTATAAGATTCAATACTAATTTAGATATAAAGTTTAAAATTATATAATTGTAAAAATAATTTGTTGAATAGTGTTATATATTATATTTTCAATTTTATAATATAAAGTTTTTTATTTGAAGACTTTATTGTATTATTTCATTTTATCTAAACAAAAATTGTTAAACTCTTTTCAAATAGCTTGTTTATAAAGCTTATTGTTAGGATAAAGCCAATTATCAACAGCAACTCTGATTTCTTGTATTGCTTCTTTCTATAAATTAAAATTAAATCAAGTTTAATACAATTATTCCTTATTAATATTCTCATATACATTAACTTAATACAATTTCTTATTAATATTACTATCAATATAAATTTAAAATAATCTAAATAGATTAATATTAATAAAGAATAATTTATTAATATAATACAATTAACCAAATTTATTTCAACTTAAAATTTTTTTAATTGTATTAAAAAAATCAATATTTAAATATTAAAACCTAATAATATAAAACTGAATCTTATTTAGTTAAGTATAATAGTTGATATATCTGTCACCATTTATAATATTTTTCCTTACCTTTGACTTTAAATTTTTATATGATAATTGTTAAATTCTGACATCTTTGGTAAGTTGAGTAAGCATAATCTCTAATGTTTTTTTGCTTTTTTGTAATTAAAGTGTTCTGCTCCAATATTTTTTTGATTATGTCTAGCAATGAATTAATTGATTTATTTTTTTTATTTAAAGCTAATTAGGTTCAATAGTAAGTATTTATAATTATAATATAAATACAGTAAAATTTTAAAAATTACAATGTTTTGCATTAGCTAAAAGATTTTTTAAAATATTATTAAGTGATGATCCAGATAAATATTTGATAATTTCATTCTCAATATCATTGTCAATATCAATAACATTATTACTATCAATATTATTTTTGTTTATATATAGTTCTTTATTCATGCCTCTGAAAATTAATTAATAGAATTTTTGATATTGTCATGATCTAAAATAGGATCATCAACATTTCTTTTAAGTTAGATTGCATAATGAAATAATAATGTATAGTAATTATTAGATATAGCACATATATAGAGCATAATTAGTAGATGTAAAGTAATTAGTGTAATTAATAGATGTAGTGTAATTAGCATAATTAGTAGATGTAGTGAATGTAATATATTTAGCATATAAAGTATAAATAGAGAAATTAGTTTATATAGTGTTGGGTTCGGAAGTTTGCGACTCTGTCGCTCCAAAATTCTAAACCTCGCGTAACGTATGGTAAGTAACCTTTTCGAAAGAGGGTGTTAGATTTGGCTTGTGGGCGAGAAAGGCTTTCGGTTACTTTGGGTCAACG